CCTGCAATTTTTATTGGCTCCGAGCCTAATTTTTGTAGATCCTTAGCCCGGGATTTTCTTGACATAAGGGAATCCTCGAATTAGTGATTCAAGCATTGTTACGATTAATTGCGTCGATCATCAAATTACCCGTGATATCAGCATCTCGTGGTGTCGGTTAAATTGAGGATCCCATTTATTTCTCATGACGTAGATTAGGAATGGGCAATGTAATTATTTATGTAATCGATAAGTAAAATTTGACCCTAACATATTTAGTAAATTATTACATATTATTAAGTAATTTAAGAATTATTGATTACAAATAAACTATATATCGATTACATATATTGATACGTATATTGATATGTATATTGATACGTATATTGATACGTATATTGATACGTATATTGATACGTATATTAATACGTATAATTGTTTTTTTTTTTTTTTTTTTGAGTTAAATAAAAAGATTGATTGTTTGAACGTAATAACTTATTTATATACAATGTCAAATTTGCAAATTCGACATTTGCTTCGTGAACTTCCAGTTGGTTCTACCGGCCATCCATTAGGCTCTCACTGGCAAGCTTTTTATCCAATTAAACCTGATAAGAGGCCTAAAGCCAAATGCATATTTTGCAATCCTGATAAGCCTATATCTGGCTCTGCCGTAGTAATGGGTTCTCATATTAAAAAATGTATGAGTATTCCTTTAGAAGTTCGAGACTATCTTATTAATACTCAAAATTATCTACAATAAAAACATTCTTATGATATGGATGATCAACAAGATATTCAATCTGAAATATCAATTACATCTGTTTCAAATTGTGACAATAGCAATCAACTTTTACTGTATAATACAAACAAATCCAATCAACTATTGTTAGAAGAGATGATCGAAGGTGGTGCACCTCTTTCTCTCGTAGAAGCACAAAAATTTAAGGAGTTTATTTACTCTATAAATAATTTATATCATATTTCATCAAGAAAACAACTTTCTACTAATATTCTTGATGAAGTTCATATGAAAGTTCAAACATCTATCAATCAATTTATATGTAAATCTACATGGATTACTATTGCAACTGATAGTTGGACGAATATCTGTCAAGACCATCTTGTTAATTTTATGGCTATTGGTAAAGATCGACAATAAGAACTTGTTGAGATTATTGATACACAAGGAAAAAGTCAAATATCAGAAGTAATTTTTAAAGATCTAGAGAATGTCTTATTACAAATTGGTCTTGAAAAAATCAATGCAACTGTGACAGATGGTGCCTCAAATTATATTCGTATGAAAACTATACTTGTACATGTAAGTTATTTATTAATTTATTATACAGTCAGATCTCTCTAAATGCATGTTATTGGGACTGGCTCTAGCATGTGTATTTAGTGAGGTATTGTATTTAGGGAGGTAAAAATTTATAAATGTAATATTAGTTGGGCCTAAAAGAAGATGTGCATTTAGAGAGGTGCTGTATTTAGGGAGGGTGCATTTAGGGGGTCTGACTGTACATGTTAATTATTATTATATATACTAATTATAACAATATAAATTTAAAATTATATAGAAATATCCAAGAATTTTAACTATACCATGTACTGCACATGAGTTAAATCTTCTAGTTGGTGACATGTTAAAGCATCACTATACAAAAACTTTAATTAGTTCAGCTATAAAAGTAATTTCATATATGCGAAAAAGTACTCATGCAATTTAATATATTTAAATGCGTATTTTTAATAATTTTCATTACCAACATTTATACAATGGAATTCTTTTTATACATCGTTACAACAAGTTCAAAATAAAGAACAATACTTAAAGGTTAGTTATATTTAATATATAATTAATTTTATTAATATAAAGATTAATATATATATATATTTAAAGATATAGCTTACAATATAAATTTACAGTTCAATGAATCTATTATATCAATTCTTAAAGACAATACATTCTGGGATCGGTTAAGAATATAGTTCAAATATTAGAACCATATTCATTAATTCCAATTATATTAGAATCACAATATGCAACACTTGCTAATATAATGTATTTGTAGGCTCGACTACAAGGAGTTGTTAATATGATTGATAATGATAATTTTTAAAACTATGTAATTGTACAAATACAACATAGATGGAATCAGATATATAGTTCACTTTTCATTATTTGTTGGTCTATTCATCCCAAATATTTTCATATGAGGGCTATTAGACTGGAACTCACAACTATTGTTAAGAAAGAAGCAAGTCCTTTATTTGAACATTTATTTCCTAATAGGAATATAAAAAAATTCTGAATGCAACTGATTGATTGAAATAATCAAGCATATCCATTTGACTTTAACAGGAATTGGGATGACTATCTAGTTGAAAATTCTGTATACTTCTGGAATAATCTTCAAAATAAAGTGCCAGAATTGGCTGCTTTTGCTGCTCAAGTTATGTTTATACTACCTACATCAGCTGAAAGTAAAAGATTCTGGTCATTAATAGCAAATATTCATACACCACAATGTCATCAATTAACAAATAAACATGCAACAAAAATAACATGTATTCGGTAGCATATTTTTCAAGAAAAAAATCACTCAAATTATATTATTCAAAATAAAAAAAAAATAATTTTGAACAAATATTAATGCAACTGATTCTAATGAAACATGTATTGAATTTGATGATTTGGACGATGGCAATAATAATTCAGAACAAATTGAAGAAGAAAATATAATACAAGTGATTAAAAATATTGACAATTTCAATACTAATGATCAAATTACTTATCCCTTAATATGTAGACCAATGCAGGCAAATTTGCCTGCGTTTTTGCACTTTTTTAGCTCTGATTTACTTTTTT